TTCAGTAGAATCTTGCTTGCATGTGAAATCAATGACACTGTTCTGTAGTTTCCACACTCAGTTGGGTCACCTTTCTTTGGAATGGGAACAAAAATGAAGAAGAAAGGTTTTGTTCTTAAAAGTTGGTACTGGAATTAGATTCTTATGGGTGTGTTGTTTTTACATAAAAATGCATAGTCTTGATTAAATCTAATTTTTGTGGACAGATGTATTTGTTTTACTTAGTGCTACTGAACCTTCTTGTTGGTTACAATGTGTGTTTGTGTTTTGAAGAATTGAGCTTTATTCATATTTTCTCATAAGCGGAGCAGTCATATTACATGAGGAGTGTTTATTTCAGTATTTAGTCTGAAAGCACTTACAAAGTATTTACATTATCAGCTACCCCCCCCACCCAAATGTTTTATTTGGTGACAATGATAGCAATTCTCAAGGTAATGGGGAGGGGTGTGAAATCATGGCTGGGAACCTGTTCAAGCCTACTACCTGAGTTAACTAAACAATTCTAGGTACAGTTGTGATTGTATGTAGTTGACAAAAAGTATGTGTTGTCAGAACAACTGGTAGACGTATAGGTGAATAGTGAGCTGAAGTTTACTTTCTTCACCTCTCTTCATAGCCTTCCTAAAAAGAAAGACTATACCCTGAAAGATGCCAAACACTCTTCACTATCAGGAGTAACACACTTCTAGAGAGACTGTTTCTAATAATTTGTTGTTGTTATGTTCTGTCAAGTCACTTGTGACTCCCAGCAACCCTGTGTACAATAGTTCTGAACCCTGCTCTATCCTGAGCCAACGTTACTGTCTCTGACATACCTACCCCCTTACCGTAGTCACTGAGTCAGTTCATCTCATCCAGGCGCTTCCTCTCTTATGCTGCCCCCTCTTCAAGGACTGATCCCACCTTGCAACATACCCAAAGTGTATCAAATGGAGCTTCAGAATCCTTGCCTCCAAGGAAAACATGGTTTCACCCTCTCTAGGATGAACCTGTTTGTTCTCCTAGCAGACTGTGGTATTTTCAATACTAACTCAAAGACATCAGTTCTTCTTCTATCATTCTTAGTCATTTGTCCAATCTGTTGCCAAGGACTTCTATAATGTGCTAAAGAGCAGGGATGTAAACTTAAAGACGAACATGTACCTGGCCCAACCCCCATATTGTTTTCCATCGTTTAATGAGCGTGTGGAAGTTGGAAATAAATAATGAAGACTAGATGCCTTTGACTTGGAGGCAGGAGTGGCATCCACTTCCGTAATAGCTTGCCTCTGGAAACCGTATGAACCTGGAGAGAGGATGAGAGGCACCCAAGCTTTGGGGACTCTCCTTTGTAGGGTCTCTATGAGTCACCTGCGACTCAATGGCACTTAACAACAACAACAACAGATGCCTTTGAATTGTAATATTGCCAAAGAACACGGACTACCAAAAGAATGAACAAATTTTTCTTGAAAAAAGTGAAGCCAAAGTGCTCCTTGGAAACCGTGATGATGGTGAGACTTTATCTTACATACTTTGATGTCTTTATCAGGAGTAGCCAGTCCCTGGAGAAGGACATCCTATTTAGAAAAGTAGAGAATCAGCCAAAGAGAAGTAGATCCTCAGAGTAACTGACAGAGTAACTGCAATAATAGGTTTAAACTCAGTAGAGTTCCTGATGATGGTGCAGGATTGAGCAAGGTTTCATTCTGTTGTAGAATGACTCTGTGCTGACTCAACAGCACCTAGAGCCACAAAACTGAACCACATGCACCTGGTTAACTTGCCTGTAAATTCTCACGGATCTCCCTCATTGCCTGTATATCACATACATTTGTGAGTTAAATGGCTGATAATGAAAAAAGTTAGGGACAACTTTAAGGGGCAACAGAATAATTCATCTAGTATTTTTATTTGTTCCTCTGTGCTAAATCCAGATTAGTGAATGGCAACTGATTCAGATAGAATCTTACCCTCAAAAAGCTTCCAGTTTATACAGTAGAATCATTAATGGCCTCTGCCACTGCTGTAACAGCCACCAGCACAAGCTTTTCTGTTCCTGAATTATTATTTTTCTCAGTTGTCATAAACCATCTTTGCAGCTCAGAGTTAACATAGAAATATGTTTTGATAATGGCCAACATTTGTCAGCTCACTGGGATACTCTCCTATCAGTTGGCCTCATCCTGCTGCTCTCTGCTGCTTGGTTTTGGTTACTTGAATAATTCTGGGTGCATTTGTATTTAAAGTACAGAAAGAGCATGTGATTGTGCAGGTAATCTCTGCTTCTGTTTCCAGGCACACTGTCCCAGCTGTCTGGTGGAAGAATGCACAAGGAAAGGACCAGATGTGGTATGAGGATGCCTTGGCTTCTAACCACCCTGTCATACTATATCTGCATGGAAACGCAGGTACCAGGTGAGAGAGGGGAAGAAAGGTAAGAGCCCAAATGGATGTATCTACTTGCTCGGGCCCAACTCATTTTTGAGGTGGAGGATGTTAAACTAGTCAGCTAAAATACCAAACGCAGACCTGGAATCACAAAATCAGCTTATTTTTCCACTGCAATGTTGTTGTTGTTGATTACCTTTAAGATGAGCATGCATCACAACAACCCTATGAACAAAAGGCCTGAAGCCTTTCTATAACTATTAACATTTATCGAAGTTTGTAGTTATTGGAGGCATATTGTTTAGGAAGTGCATGCCACTCCTCCATTGCAATGAGAAAGAGTATGTATTAGTGTAACCATGGAACAGTGCAAGAACAAAAAGAAGGCAGAGTTTTTTTAAGATTTTGCGAAGTGACATTTACATGAAATTGACTTGAAATACTTTTTCCATTCTCTTAACATCAGTTCTTGTCTGTAGGTGGACCTCAGTCCTTCTCCTCATGAACCAGTGTTAGATAAATGTGGGAACTTTAATCCAAAAGCTCTACATTTGGATTGGAGTAAGCACTACTTCTCTGTATTACACAGTGACTTAGAGTGAGTGTTTTTGTCTTACCTGTGTAATTTCTACCAGTAAGGTGTCTGGCATTTTGTGCTGTTAGGGAACAGAATGAGTTTCCCAGTGATTAAGAAAAACCATAGTTATTTGGATATTGCTTGTACTTGGGAAGTCATCCCAGGCAGATGAATGCAAGGCACATTTTTACCTTTCTGTCCTTCAAAGAGATGGATTGACCCAGTGACTGTAGCAATAAGTACAAGTGTTGTCAGAGGTGATGAAAACGGCACAGAACAGGGTTCAGATCTGCTGTTCATAGGGTCACTGCGAGTCATACTCTACTTGGTGACACATGGTGTGGCAATCTGTAAGAGCATTTACTTGTGTGATGGTTCCAGTGTACCAGGAGGTAAATCCTGAGCCAGCATAGTTCTGTACCTTCCTGGAAAAAAAAACCAACCCACAGCATGCCAAAAAGGAAACAGTGGTGGTCTCAAAAAAAGCTAGAGAGAAGCCAATGAAGGCTTTCACTGAATTAAAAGCCGAACACTTTTAATCAAGTTAGTCTTTTCAATATGGTCAAAGTGATCTATATGAATTCTCTATCCTGTATAAAATTAACAGTATCAGTGCATCCTAACAGACTGTTGATTGTATGTGAAATCTTGACCCAGTTTCTTCTAAATGCCTTTCATAAATGAGTTTTCTTCAAACTGGCTGGAGTTAGAGGGAATTAAAGAACTCATACTATGGAGGAACGTCTAAGGCTCAGGAAGAAGGAAAGTGGGAGATAAGAGGACAGAGTGCACTCTTTGTATAAAACTTTGCTTGGTAAACAGCTTGGGTCACTGACATTCTCCCTTTTTTTAGGTTGTGAGAGCTGGCATAGTGCAGAGCCATGGCAGGACACAGGGTTAATGCGGTGCCCTTGATCACATCTGCAAGTATGGGAAGGGGCAGTTCTAAGCAAAGCCAGTTAGGACCGTATCTAGACCTTGAGAAAAGTAGCATGTGTTGGAGTTGGGAAAAGGTTGTGGCATATGTATATGATGGAAGAAAGCCCTACAGAGAGCCAAGAAGTGCCCTGGAAGGCAAGGGAAAAGTCAGGGCTGTGCCTTGGATGGTACTGAGAGGTAGACTATACTTCACATGTGTACTTCACAGGTAGCTTTCATCATTGTTTGGGACAAACTATAACTGTTACTCTCACTTTTCAAAGAGCAGGTTTATGACATGTTGCAGTTTTGTTTATTTTTTTAAAATAAATTTTTTTAAATTTTATATTAGTTTGCTTACAAAGTTCATTTATATTGTTTTTCACTCTACCTTCGTTCACATTACGCTTCATAGAATTATTCCCATTCATTATGTTTTATAAAATTAGTCAATATTGAAATATGTCCACCATTTCCCTGTCTTTCCAGATCCCCTGTGGATCTTTCCCATTTCCTTTACCTATCCCTCCCTCTACCCATCAAGTTGTATGACCTTATGCTATCCCCCTGACCGATCCTCACCTCTCTGCTCCTACTTTCCCCTCCTTAGGTCCCCATATACATTTTACTAGTTGTCTGTTTCTACAATAATGATCTTATACAGCATTTGTCCTTATGAGATTGAATTAGTTCACTCAGCACAATGCTTCCAAGTGCCTCCAGGGGTATGTACTAGTTCTCAAAATTATTGCTCCTATGTGCTGTGCAGTATTCCATTGTGTGAATGTACCACAATTTCTCAATTCATTCCATTGAGGTTAGATATTTGGGCTGTTTTCATATTCTTGCTATGGTGAATAATGCTGCTGTGAACACTGGTGTACATATCTCTGTGTTTCAGTTCTAGTTTTCTCGGGATATATTCCAGGCAGTGAAATAGCTGGGTTATTTGGAATTTCTGTTTTCAGCTTTTTGAGGAAACTTTAAACTGCCTTCCATGGTGCTTATACCATTTTACAGTCCGAATAGCAGTGTCTGAGAGTGCCTATCTCTCTGCATCCTTTCAAACATTTACTGCTGCCTGTCCTATTAAACTTTCCCACTACTTCTAGAGTGAGATGGGATCTCATTGTGGTTTTGATTTGAATCTCTCTTATTGCCACTGATTTTGAGCATTTCTTCATGTGTCTGTTGGCCATCTGAATGTTTTCCTCTCTGAAGTCTTTCCGTGTCTTTTGCCCATTTTGTAATTGGGTTGTCAGTCTTATTCTTATGGAGACTTTGTTGTTGTTATGTGCCGTCCTACAACTCATACCGACCCTATGTACAACAGCCCTAAACCCTACTCTAGCCTGTGACAATTTTATTTTCTCTGACACACCCACTATTACTACCCTAATCACTGAATCAATCCATCTCATCAAGGGTCTTCCTCTCCTGCACTGTCTCTCCACCCTCCCAAGCATGATGTCCCTCTCCAAGGACTGGTCCCACCTTGAAACATGTCAAGTATGTCAGACGAAGCTTCAGAATCCTTACCTGCAAGGAGCAGACTGGTGTCACCCTCTCCAGGACAAACCTGTTTGTTCTTCTAGCGATCGTATATTCAGTACTCTTGTTCAGTACCACAGCTCAAAGGCTAAATTCTCCGTCTGTCATCCCTAGTCATTGTCTAGCTTTCTGATGCATAATAAGTAATTGCAAAGACTATGGCCTGGATCAGGCACACCTTAATCTACAGACTAACATCGTTGCTGTTAAGTACTCTCTGACAGCAGACTTTCCCAGCGCAATTAGTTTTTTAATTTCTTGGCTGCTAGTACCTAGAGTGTTGATTGTAGAGCCAAGCAAACGAAAACTGTCAACAATCTCAATTGCTTCACCGTCTATCATGATGCTGCCAATTGACCCAATGGTAAGAATCTTTTTTTTCTCTTGATGTTGATCTTCAATTCATATTGAAGGTTGCAGTCCTTGACCTTCTACAAACAAGCACTTCAGATCCTCCTCTGTTACAGCAAGCACGTTTGGGTCATCTGCATAATGCAGATTCTTGATGAGTCTTCCTCCAATCCTGATGCTACATTTCTCCTCATAGAGCCCAGCCTCCCAGATAATCTGTTCTGCATATAGATTGAAAAGGTATGGAGATAGGACACATCCCTGGCATACACTCTTCCCAGTTTTTAATCATGCAGTGTTTCCTTGCTCTGTTCTGATGCACACTGCTCTTGGTCCCAAGTGTAGGTTCCATATAAGCACAATCAAGTGTTCTGGGGTTTCCATTCTTCTCAGAGTCAACCACAGTTTGTTGTGATCTATACAGTGTGTGGTCCATGAAACACAGATAGACATTCCTCTGGTAACTCTTTGGTTTCAGCCAAGATCCATGTGACATTAGCTAGAGTATCCCTAGTACCCTGGTCTCTTCTAAACCCAGCCTGCACTTCCGGCAGTTCTCTATTGATGTGCTGTTCCACTTGTTTTTGGATCATTTTCAGCAGAATCTTGCTTGTATGTGATATCACTGGTCTTGTTTGATAACTTCCGCATTCTGTCGGGTCACCTTTCTTTGAAATGGGAACAATTATAGATAGATCTCTTCCAGTCAATTGTCCTCCAGATCTCTTGGCACAACTTGGTGACTGCATTCAATGCAGTGTCTGGTTTTTTTAAACATGTTAATTGGTATGCCATCAATTCCTCCGGCCTTGCTTTTTTCCAGTTCTTTCAGAGCAGTTTGAATTTATTCCTTCATAACCACAGGCTCTGCACATACATTGTTTCATGAAATTCTTCTGTGTCAGCCAACTCCTTTGATACATTTACTCTGTATACTCTTTCCATCTTCTTTTAATTCTACCTTGTTGTTGTTGTTGTTATGTGCCGTCGAGTCGCTTGCAACTCATAGCGACCTTGCAACTCATAGCGACCCTATGTACAACAGCTCTCAACTCTGCTCTGTCCTGTGCCAATCTCATTGTCTCCGACACACTCATTCCGATTGCCCCAGTCACAGAATCAATCCATCTCCCAGAGGGTCTTCCCCTCCTGCGCCTGCCGTCCACCCTCCCAAGCATGATGTCCTTCTCCAAGGACTGGTCTCTCCTTACAGCATGACCAAAGTATGTCAGACGAAGCCTCAGAATCCTTGCCTCCAAGGAGCATGTACATAGGGTTTTCAGAGGCCTGCTATTTTGGAAGTGGATGGCCAATCCTTCTTCCTAGTGTATGTCAATCTGAATGTTCAGATCTAGAGAAGTATCCAACAGATTTCCATCTTCTTTTAATGCTACCTGGATCATTTAATATTCTACCCAAAGCATCATTAAGTATTGCAACTCGAGACCCTGTTGTATTCTGTAAACTTGTTAGGAGACCCTTGTCTGAGATGGTGTTGCCAAATGGTTTTTTTTCCCCAGTCAGTAGGACTTTCCACCTTGTTGTAAAAAGGACTTTTCATCCTAAAAAAAGTTTCATCAAAAAAGTTTTTGATGCCCACAGGGATTTAATTTTAAGAAGGTCCCATTCATCAGATTTATCCTCTCCTGACGGTGGATTTCTGGCTTATTGTCAGCTTTTTTATCCTATTGGCTAGGTCTTCTAAGCTTGGCCCTGCTTTGTCTCTTATAATCTTTATGGTTTGGGGCTTTACCCCTAGGACTCTAATCCACCTTGAGTTGATTTTTTGCATATGGTGGGAGGTGTGCATCCTGCTTCATCTTTCTACAGGTAATAGTCCAGTTTTTCCAGTACCATTTGTTGAAGAGGTTGTCATTTCTCCATTTGATACATTTTGTTTCCTTGTTGAATATCACTGACCATAGATAAATGGATTAATTTCAGGATTCTCGATTCTGTTCCATTAGTCATTGTAGCACTATCATGCTGTTTTGGTTATTACACCTGTGTAGTAGGTTTTGAGATCAGGGAGTGTTATGCCTTCCACTTCCTTCTTGTCTTTCAGAAATGCTTTGCTTATTTGAGGTCTCTTCCTTCTCCAAATGATCTTGCTAATTGCTTTTTCTCTCTGTTTGAAAAATGAATTTGGAATCTATATTGGGATTGATAATTTCCACACTGTTTTTCCTTTATTTGGAATAGAAACAAATAGGGATCTCTTTCATTCAGTTGGCCAGGTTGTTCTCCAGATTTCTTGGCCTAACCTGGTGAGCATGTCCAGAGCAGCATGTTTATGGAAATATGTCAGTTAGTATACTGTCAATTCCTGGAGGCTTGGTTCTTTTTTTCCATTTCCTTCAGAGCAGCTTGAACTTCCTCCTTTATTACTGTAGGTTCTTGATCATATGTTATTTCATGAAATTCTTCTGTGCCAGCCAATTCTTTTTTTGGTATAGTGACTCTGTACTCTTTCCATCTTGTTTTGATGCTCCCTGGGTCATCCAACATTCTACTTACAGCATCCTGATGTATTGCAGTTCGTGGCTTGAATGTGTCCTTCAGTTCCTTCAGCTTAAGAAATGCTAAGTGAGTTCATCCCTTTTGATTTTCAGACTCTAGCTCTTTTCACATTCCATTATAATATTTTGCTTTGCTTTTCTGTGCTGCCCTTTGAAAGCTTCTGTTCAGTACCTTATCATCTTGGTTTCTTTCTTTTGTTTTGACTTCATGGTGCTCTAGTGCAATATTTAGAATTTCTTCTGACATCACTTTTGGCCTTTTCCTCTTCCTCTGTCTTTATAATAACCTTTTGTATTTCTTCTTTTCTAGTTTTAAAAATAATTTAAGTAGAATTGGTGATAGATCTCTGAATATTTGTTAAAATTCAGCTATGAAGAAATTTTTTTGTCAGGAAGTCTTTTTGTGATCTTTTTAATTTTTTCTTTCATGATGGGTCTCTTCAAATGGTCTGTATCTGTCTCTGTCAATCTGGGTAGGGCATGAGTTTCAATGATATGAAACCTCTAGGTTTTCATATTTATCAAGAGTATAACTTTTCATAGTATTCAGATAATACAAATTTTTTTGTTTTGATGTCACCTCTGTCATTTCTTATTTAAGTTACCTGTGTCTTCTCTTTTTTTTCTTCTTTTGTTAAGTTTGCCAATGGCTTGTCGGTTTTTATTGACCTTTTAAAAAAATCATCTCCTAATCTTAATCTTACTGGTTTCAGTTGTTTTTCTGTTTTCTATCTCATTTATTTCAGCTTTTGTCCTTTTAATTTCCTTTCCTCTAGAAGCAGTAAAATGAGATTGTTTTCACATCTTGGCTATCTTATTTTTTTTTTTTTAATTTTATTATTTTTGTGTTTGTACCGTCAAATCGGATCTGACTGGTACAGGAGGAGATTGCTCCTTCTTCTCCAGAAGAGCATCTGGTGGATTCGAACTGCATACCTCTGAGATTACAGTGCAGCTTCTTGCCACTAGGCCACCAGAGCTCCCTTGCTACTTTTAAAACTAATCAAAATTAGTCAGAACTGACCTATAGCTGACCTCCAATGTGTTTTCAGAGGCTATAAATCACGTGAGAGATTTCCCTTCTTCCTCAGAGCAGCTAGTGCATTTGAACTGTGTACCTTTGCATTGGCAGTGTAATTCGTTACCACTAAGCCACATAGTTCTTTAAGAGTCACTTATAAAATATGACTGATGAGGATGGGCTATGAACCCACATGTGCAGAGAACAATAGATGAGTAATCTGTTGTCTTAACCACTCAGCCACCTCTTTCAGTCTATTCTCACTCTTAGTGACTCCCTAGCTTTCTCTCTCAGAGCAGCTGGTGGATTCATACTGCTAACCTTTTGGTTAGCAGCCCAGTATGTTACACACTATGCTACTAGGGCTTTTGCTAAAAAGAAAAGAGAAAGGTATATTAGCTGTTGGCTAATCTTAATTTTTGAAACTTGGCCTTCCCCCTTTACAGAAATTAAAGTGAGATGCAAGTTTAGTAAGTCTGGTTTCTAGCAAAATAGAAAAGATTTGCAACTTTGAATGTACAAAAGCTTGCTAATGGATGAATTTTGATCTGGGATTTCATTAAATTGCATGTTTGGCTTTTATAGGAAAACCCCAAATCAAAGCAAGCTTTCTGCTATTATCTTCTCTTTTGACATTATATAAATGAGAAAGCATTGTATTTATTGTGAATGAAGTTCAGTTAATTACATGGTATAAAAACCAAAACTGCTACAGCTAGAACTGTTTGGAAGAAGGATTTGGTGACTGTAACTGCCATGATGACAGTTGTATACACCTTGAGCTCCACTTGAATTAATGCATCTCACATGTGGGGCACACATAACATTAAGAGGACATACGTGCTGGTGGCCACTGCAACAAGAGGGAAACTGCAAAAATAAAACATGCAAAATGCAATTAGAATGATCTAAGCAGCATGACTAGTAGCTAAAAAGAATGTACTGGAAGTTAGAATAAGAGTTTTTAAATTAAAAGGACAAGCTATAGAAGGTGTGAATGATGCGGTTCATGTATGTGTTAAAGTAAATATGGACTTGCTTCTTTGTTCATGGGTTTTTCTGTACATACAGGAAAATGAGGGAGGTAAGTGTATTCCCATTAGGCAAGAGGAAGTCAGGTTTATCCTTTTTTACCTGTTACATTTTGTATTCTATATACATATGTTGTTGTTGATTGCCATTGATTAGAGCACAACACATAGCGACCCTATGAACAAAAGACCTGAAGCCTTTCTATAACTATTGTCGTTTCTCAAAGTTCACAGAGTTTCTAGAGGCCTGTTGTTTTAGGAAGTGATTGCCGCTCCTGTTTCCAAAATATACATATGAGTGACCTCTTAAAGGGAGCTCTGCTGGCTTGGTGAGAAGGAACTGGGCCGCTAATCTGCCAGTTGCTCCCTGGGAGAAAAATGGGCATTCTCTTCTGATGCAGTTTACTGCCTCTAAAAACTCACTGGAGGGTCAGCCATGAGTAGGTCCAACTTTTCAGCACATAACAACAGCAGCAGCATTCCAGAAAAAAAAAATATCTAAAAGCTTATTTATGAAATCTCCCCCAGAGTACAAAGTCTGTCCCTTGATTGACACAGCATTGTCAGATGCAAGTCTGATTTGGCTTCAAGTAACAGAATGAACATTTGTCCATATCCACCCTTCTCCAGTATGTCATTTAGGACTATGTGTCAAAAGCTCCAGACCCTACAAGACTCTGGCTTCACCATTCAAGAAGATATGCTAATAGATGCTTTCTTGTTTTTTTTCCCCCCTGACATCCTAGGGGAGGGGACCACCGTGTGGAGCTTTACAAGGTAAGGCATAGGCACAGGATGAAACTGTGCATGTGAAATACAGACCATACCTTTCATCCACTATTTTAGAGAGCTAGAACAGAAGCAAGTCAAAATTAGGAAGTTGATTTTTATTTATTTGATGTTTAATTTTGTGGATCATATCTTTATTATTGACAAATTACATAAAGCGTTTGAAATGGCTTTTAAGTGTGATAGTCATAAGCATAAGAAATAAAGCTCTGTGGTCAGGCAGCTATGCTGCACTGCTGGTGAAAGAGTCATAGATTGGTGCTGGCTTAGACATTTCCATATCCCATACAGCATAAACCCTCAGTCTCAGACACTTCAGCTAACTGAGTGAAAATGTCAACAAGACCCCTTTGATACAGTATGGCATCTCACTGATACAGGTGCCCACCTTTCTACCAGCTCTGTTCCTCATCAGTAGTGTTGAGGTGTCATCTACATCTGCTCCTTTCAAACTTCCCTCAAATGGGCACCTACATTTGCTAGCAGTGTAGGAAACAGAACAAGGAGACTAAAACTCTGGATTGAGGATGTGAAAAGACTGGAATTCTCAAATACTGCTGGTAAGAATGTAAAAATGGTGCTGCCAGTAGGAAAAACAGTTTGGTACTTCCTTAGAAAATTAGGAATATAAATACCACTTGATTTAGCTATCGCACTACTAGATATATATTCAAAAGAACGAAAAGCTGCAAAATAAACAGGGCTTCAAACACACCCATGCTCATTACGACATTATTTACAATCACAAAGACATGGATACAATCTGAGTGTGTCTCAGCAGATGAATGGCTGAAGAAACTATGATACGTCCACACCACAGCATGTTATATATTTCTAAAAAATGTGAAACTCTGTACAACATTTATGGATTTAAAGGAAATTATGATTAGTAACATAAGTCAGTTGAGAAAGATTATTATGGTAGAGGGCCACTGTTTGAAAAAGTTAAGGAATAATATACACACAGAATCATTCTTGGATTTCTATGAGGGATGGGAAGAGAAGAAGGAGGAAGTAAAAATTAATAAATAGGGTCAAGGGAAAAGCAATAGACAATAAGGAGTTGATTAGACTTTGTAGTTAGTTATATTAGTCAATGGTAATTGTTATGAAACAATGATTACAAATGATTGAATGAAAAACAAGTATGACTTGTAAACTTTACTCAGTTTAAAAATTGGCATGTGTTTTCCTGAGTTTCTAATCTGAATGAGATGTTTTTATTAAAAAATTAATAAAAATAAGCAAATTTAAAAAAAAAATGTTGAATGTACAGTATTTCTGTATACGCAATAATGTAGGTTACTAGATGGACAGACTCAATGTTGGTTGTTGCTTCCTGCCATGGTGCCACCATAGGAAAGATATTAAAATGAGGCCTATATAGTTAAGGCTTCCTGCTTCCTGGAATGCACTTGAAAATGCACCGACTACAAAGACTGAAATAGACCTAGGAAAAATGATGTGTGCTGGTCCCAAACCAAATAGATGTTTTTGCCCCAGACCAGATAACAGGTCAGCCACTCTAATCTTTTCCACCTTCTTACCTCTTCTATATACCAGAAAAACATAGGTTAGAAATGTGGGAAAACACTTGTCAGACTGACAAACAGGGCAAAACTAGGGTTTCCACGACAACCTGAAATGTAAGTCTCCTTGTGAGGTTATACACATCTCATCATTAACACTCCATAATCACTCACTCCAAAATATGTTAAAAGCAAGCTTTCTTTGTGACTACAAAGATAGAGAGCCTTTTTTTAAAAAAAATGTGTTTGCTTACAAACTTCATATCCATTATTTTTAGAGAATCATTTTTTAGTCTTAATAATCTTTTCAACATTTTTATGTTGATTATCATAGAAAACTTGTATTCTGGGTAGAGGGAGGAGGTAAAGGAAATGGGACAGATCCATTTGGGACCTGAAAAGACATGATAGTGGTGGTCACAATCCAATGGTGATTAGTTTTGTAAAACATAATAAAAAAATTTAGGGGGCTGGGGGTTGGGTGGGCGGGGAGAAAAGTGCAACAATGAATGAATGGAATTCCAAAATCTCTGTAGATGTTCATTGAAATAAAAAAAAAATATTTAAAAAAAACCCCATAATAAAATGGGAATGATTGTATGGGGAAAAAACAAAAAACATGAATAGTGTATACATTTACTTAGGATTGCCACCATGAGACAGTAATGACACTCAGAAAATTGAGATTTTAATATTCTTATAAAACCAATATGAAATTAAAAGTGAAGGCAAATTCACGCAACAATTCACAATTCTGATGCAACCATTTTATATTGCATTTTAGTAATTTTCTGTATTCAGACACCATTTTTCATGGTTTTATGCAAATAAATATAATTTTATACTTTGTATTAACATAAATTTTCATATTCTTCATAATAATTCAAAGAACTATATAATTTCACCAGAACATTATAATTCATACTTAATTTGATTTTGAGTTTTGTAATTATAAAAAACTTATATGCATTGTGTTTGACTCATGCACATTGTGTTTCACACATTCCTTTACTCACACGTGTGTGAATTGTGCTTCATATTATCATTCATATACATTATGGTTTATAATATTAATCACCGTGAATCTGTGCCTGTTATACCCCATCTTTTCAGATCCCCATTGTATCTTTTCCTTCATCCCTATCTGCTCACCAAATTCCATTATCGTAGTGATTTTACCCCTTCCCCATACTTCACCTCTGGCCCCCTCCTCTTCTCCTTTTGGACTTTTGTACACATCTCACTAGTTATCCTTCTCTTTTTACCATAATGATCTTGTGAAGTATTTATCCTTATGAGACTTAGTTCACTCAGCATAATGTTCTCTATATATTATTTTGCAAAATCATTGTTCTGTGTGCTGCATAGTATTCCGTCATGTAGATATACCACAGTTTCTCCATCCATTCATTTGTTGATGGGCATTTGGGCTGTTTCCATATTCTTGCTACTATGAATAAAACTGCTGTAGTTAGTGCTTTTGTGCTTCTTGAAGAGAGGAGCTTAATATGGTGATCACAGAGTGGTGGTAGGGGCCACACTTCTTCCTGCCTCTGTGATGGCACATATGATAGGTTATTTTGTGCTGCCCCTACGTTCTGTTGGTGGGAGTTGGGATATGAGAATCTAAATGGAAGTATAAGAAAAGAAAGTTCATTGAAAACTTATAAGAAATCCTGGTTTGTAGTATATAAAGAGTTCTAGCAGCATGGTACTAGTAGAGTCTGACCTCCCCGACTCTACAGTGAAGAACTGTCCCCATCTGCAACACCCAGAACACAAATCTTAATTCCAAAAGGCCATACATGTTCCCACACTCCCTCAGCTACTTCTGCCAATTCTTACACTAGCCATCCCTTCCAGGGTTCGCACTGCTCTGTTAATGGTCTGATAACCGATTGTAGTGGCCACACAGAACTCAGAATAATTCTGAGTTTCTGAATTTATTAAGGATGTTAACAGGTTACCATCCAGGATGTCAACAGAATGCAGGTCTTCAGTCAGGACAGCTTCTCATTCGTGCTCACAGGCCCTTAGACCTGCACTGTCAGTTGTAGGTCAGTGTTTTTGTAGTCCTGCCAATTATGATGTCTCCCCTAGGCACATATCCTCCAGCCTGCTTGGGCAAAGGGATCTGGCTCTTGGAGTAGCAGTCCAAAGTTGACTTTCACATTAACCTCTGGAAACTGCTGCTGAGCTCACCTAGGTTCTGGTCTGACTGGCCCAGGAATCTCTGGCTTCAGGAAGGAAGGCCATTTTGAACAGTAAACCTATGAAGCCACATAGTAGAAGTTCCCAGGTTGGGGTCAGTGCTCTGGAGTAACTTGGGGTCAATGCTCTGGAGTACCTCCTGCCAGGTCCCTGCCCCTCTTGCTGAAGTGTTTAAAGTCCCTTAACCCAGAAGATCACCACTGTGCTTCCTCCCATGAAAGCCTGACATCAAGACCAAAACTTCATCACTTTAGTTAGAAGTAATTTTTTTTATCAGGAATGCTTTGGATTTATTGCCAGAAATGTTTTGTGTTTTATTTTGTTTTTACTTCACAGGTGCTGAGTTCCCTTGGTTATCATGTCGTCACCTTTGATTACAGAGGTAAGATTTCTCTTAAAGAGGCACCTGAGTGCAGTCTTCTGACTACGTTAGACACAAAGACAGGTGTTTTCTCACTTTTTAAGAAGTAGCTCCAAGGGACAGAGATGTGAGTCATTTAATGGTGCCTCAGCATATGCCTATGTTAGCAGAAGTGCCTTGTGCTGCTGCTTTGTTTTTCTGATGGACTCAAAGTGCTGTAGTCCACAGCTGGTCATAATGCTAGTTCTAAAATGGCATTTCTCTGGTTCAAATCCATTAATGGCATCACAGGAGAAAGATGGGCATTCTCCTCTCATGTAATTTACAACTTCCCACTGGAAGTTGGTTCTGACTCCTTAGCAATGAGTTTTTGATTCTTTTAGTTTATTTCTTGATACAGTCCTACATTAGCAATAGAGAGATGTATGATTGGCTGGATTGTTTTGACCTTAGGGCAAGGTAGTGATGTTTAGACCACGTGTGGGCTGGAGAGTGGTCAAGATGGGCAGTTGTTGGCTAGATGTAAAAATTGTGTCAGTTTCTTTCTGCTTCTATACCAAACAGCTACAAACACATTTAAGGTGGCACAATTCTGGTTGTTAAAAGTCTGAAATGATCTCACTGGGCTAAAATAAAGATGTCAGAATGGCTGTGTTCATCCTGGATCTTCCAGGGAGAATCCTTAACCCTAATCATTTTGTTCTTCTAGTAATATCTGTATTGCTTACCAGTTAAGGGATATCTCTAATGGTTTTTTAATATACCAGCAGCTGTGAGGGACAAAGATGGACAGTCTCCTCATGTGTACCTGAGAGAGGGTCAGCTATAAGTCTGTTCCAACTCAACAGTCATGGGTTGGATTGAGGTGTCCATTTTTAAAGCTAATAATGGTGAGTCATTCTTTCTCATACTGCATTTCTCTGATTCTCTTGCCTGCCTCTTTCATTTATAAGGACTCAGTTGTTAACAATAACAGCTTGCGTGGCTCCCCAATCAACACTGTTGACATTGTTGTTGTTGTTGTTATGTGCCGTCGAGTCGTTTGTGACTCACAGCAACTCTATGTACAACAGCCCTAAACCCTGTTCTATCCTGTGCCAATTGCATTGCCTCTTACACACCCATCCTGATTACCCCAGTCACTGAATCAATCCACCTCATAGAGGGTCTTCCCCTTCTGCACTGTCCCTCTACCCTGCCAAGCAGGATGTCCCTCTCCAAGGACCTGTCTCTCCTTACAACATGTCCAAAGTATGTCAGACGAAGCCCCAGAATCCTTGCCTCCAAGGAGTAGCCTGGTTTAACCCTCTCCAGGATGAATCTGTTTGTTTTCTTGGCATTAGCAGTCAGAAAATCAAAAGACTAGTTGCACTGGGAAAATCTGCTGTCAGGGACTTCTCCAGAGTACTGAGAAGCAACGATGTCAGTCTAGAGACTAAGGTATGCCTGATCCAGGCCATGGTCTTTGCAATTACTTGCTATGCATCAGAGAGTTGGACAATGACTAGTATAGAATGACAGCAGAAGAATCTATACCTGTGAGTTGTGGTGCTGGAGAAGAGTCTTGGAGATACCATGGACTGCCAAGAAAACAAATTAAGTCTGTCTTGGAGAGGGTGAAACCAACTTTCTCCTTGGAGGCTAGGATTTTGAAGCTCTGTCTCACATACTTTGGGCACATGGCCAGGTGGTACCATTTCTTGGAGAAGGACATCACGGTTGGAATGGTGGAGGGACAGTGCAGGAGAGGAAGACCCCAGATGAGATGGATTGATAGAGTAACGGGGGTAATGAAGGTAGGTGTATCGGAATCATTGAGACTGGCTCAGGACAGGGCAGGCTTCAGAGCTGTTGTACATAGGGTCACTAAAAATTGCAGGTGACTTGACGGCATATAACAACAACATATATAATCCAGAATACTCTCCCCATCTCCAGTTCAGGAGTTGATAAACTTAATTTTATCTTCAGCAGTAATTCCCCCTTCTTTAATTTTTTTTTTTTTTAATTATTATTGTGAAGTGGTAGTGCTAATGCGAAACCTATATTTGGACCAAGAGGCAGTCGTCAGAACAGAGCAGGGAGACACCGGATGGTTCAAAATCAAGAAAGGGGTCCATCAGGGTTGTATTTTGTTTCCATACTTTTTCAGTCTGTATGCAGAACAGATCATCCGAGACGCTGGGCTGTACAAGGAGTAATGTGGCATCAGGATTGGTGGAAGAATCATCAACAACCTGGTTATGCAGATGACACAACCCTGCTCGCTGAAACTGAGGAGGACCTGAAGCGCTTGCTGCAGAAGGTCAAGGACTGCAGTCTTCAACATGGATTGAGGCTCAGTATCAAGAAAACAAAGATTCTCACCACTGGACCAATTGGCAGCATCAGTATGGATGGTGAAGAGATTGAGATAGTTAACAGTTTTAGTTTGCTCGGCTCCACAGTCAAACTCTTGGTAACAGCAGTCAGGAAATCAGGAGACAATTTGCATTGGGAAAGTCAGCTGTGAGGGACCTCTAAAAAGTACTGAAGAGCAACGACATCAGACTGGAGACTAAGGGGCTCCTAATCCAGGCTATAGTCTGTGCAGTTACGTGCTATGCATCTGAGAGTTGGACAGTGAATAAGGATGATAGAAAGAGAATTGATGCTTTTGAGCTGTGGTGCTGGAGAAGAGTGTTGAATGGATATTCATGGACTGCTGGGAGAACAAACAGGTTCATCCTGGAGAGGGTGAAGCCAGAATGTTCCCTGGAGTCAAGGATTCTGAAGCGTCGTCTGACATACTTTAGGCATGTTGCAAGGAGGGACTAGTCCTTGGAGAAGGGACATCATGTTTGGGAGAGTGGAGGGACGGCGCAGTAGAGGAAGACCCTCAATGAGATGGATCGATTCTGTGAGTGGCGTGGTGGGAGTGAATGTGTTTCAGACCGCGAGGTTGGCACAGGATAGAATGACTTTTGGGGCTCTTGTACATAGGGTTGCTGTGAGTCGCAAACGACTCTATGGCACATAACAACAACAACAACATATTAAGCATACTGGTTTCTCATTCCTTATATATAAGTTTTTATGTAAACATTCTAAAAAAGAAACATCTTTGGGAGAGCTTGTTCTACCTACTGAAGTGGTTGTTCTCTCTCCTTGGTTGAGGAATAGGCAAAACTTCAAACAGAGGAGTAGCTGGAAAGTGATTTCTCCTCTTTTCCATGTTGTCTCTCCTACATACTACAGACTTTAAAATAAAGAAAGGGGACATCCTTTTTACCTTTTCCCTTTGCATTTCTGTCAAGGAGTGAAATACATAGTGAGCTGAAAGTACTTTCTTTCGTATTCTTACATTTTTAGACTGTAGGAAAAACTCCTGGGGACCTGACCCCAATAGCACTTCGCGTACACATTCACAGGTTACTTATCTCTGTAAGGTTCTACTTTATGAACATCTCTCAGTAGACTAAGATGGAACTGGCTGGAGGATAAACTATAAGGCTCCTGCAGCTTTCCCACCCTCCACCCTCTACTCTCTGTTCTGTTCTCAGCTGCCTCCCTCTACATGTTTCTTGACTGTTACTGTGACGGTCATAATGTTAGGACTGTTCTTCTGATTTTGTCTATATCTACCTCTGCCTGGATGTCCTGAGCCTGTCTCCCCTGCCTTCCCACATTACTCCATCCCTAGTCAGGGTTATCTAGGGAAGCCACAGGGGCCTTAGAAACATATCTCTGTACACAAATTCTGTAAATTTGCTTATGCAGGAGAAGCTACACTTTCGAAGCCTTGAGTTTTCAGGGTTTTGGTACTGGATTGAACAAGTCGGCTGTCAGGGACTTTTCTAAAATACTGAAGAGCAGTGATGTTAATCTGAAGACAAAAGTGCACATGATTCCGTCTTCTCAGTCATTTGCGACTTACCTGAGAGCTGGATGGTGGCTAAAGATGACAAAAGAATTGATGCCTTTGAATTGTGGTATTGGACAAGAGTACTGAATATGCCATGGACTGCTAAAAGAACAGATATGTCTTAGAAAAAGTGCCATCAGAATGCTCCTTGGAGGCAGAGATGGTAGAAACAGTATTCCTCAGAAAGGAATATCATGCTTGGAAAGGTAGAGGATCAGTAAAACAGAGGAAGATCCCCAATGAGATAGATTGACAGGGTGACTACAACAGGGGGCCCAAGAGATGGTGAGGATGTCACAGGGTTCAGAGTCTCTTCATAGCATTGCCATGAGTTGTTCTAGGTGGCATCTAATAGCCTCAATAGTTGAGCTGCTAAAGATGACAGTTGCATTTCTTTGAGATTCAGGGCTGAGTAAGAAGGCTCATGACAAGTATTTTTCAAACATTTATGCCAGGAAGGTTAGTAAAATGAGGAAAAAGATGGTTGGCTTTCTTGTGTTAAATAAATGAGATAATAATTCTACCTAAGGTGAAACTAGGAGAACAAATAAGTTCATCTTGGAAATGGTGAAGCCAGGCTGCTCCTTGGAGGCAAGGCTTCTGAAGTCTGACATTTTTTGGACATGTTGCAAGGCCAGATCAGTCCTTGGAGAGGGATATAATGCTTGGGAGGTTGGAGAGGCAGCGCAGAAGAGGAAGACCCTTGATGAGATGGATTGATTCAGTAACTGGGGTAATGGGGTTAAGTGTATCAGAGACAATAAGATTGGCACAGGGTAGAGCAGGGTTTAGGGCTGTTGTACATAGGGTCGCTATGAGTCACAGGCAACTCGACGGCACATAACAACAACAAGGTGGAAGAAACTAAGGCACTTTCCCTTTTTAGGTTAGAAGTCAGAGCTGCCTTGAGTCAGAAAAAAATCCTTATTTTTCATCTTTTTCTGGCGCTTCTTGTTTGTGTCCTGTTGTTTGGAACTGGACAGCAACTAAATGAAGTCAGATGCAGGCTCAGGGTCCAGCCTCACAGATTACATTCAGGCCATCTGGGCTGACCTGTACCCAACTGGTGGGGGACTTGTTTCACTCCTCCTGCCTGCTTAGACTTTTTGTGATCCTTTATTCTGGACTGGTTCTCATCAAGCTTATAGCACTAATAGGGTTGGAGAGTTCAAGTGTGAACACCCTGCTTCACAGTGATCAGTAACCAACACAAGCCTCAGGGTTTTTATAGCCTGTCTCACATCTATGCCTCGGGGTTTAGTGGAGCGTTCTCCATCTAAGATGGCCTGCTTACTTTAGAGATTACTAAAAGGGATGTGGTAGAAGTAGGAGAGTGTCAGCAGGCCAGTTTAGGAGGTTTCTGGGATGTAATTTGACACAGTTCTTGGTTATTTGGCAATCAGAGTTACAACTAAGACAGAGGAGGAAGAAAAGACCAAGTTGCCAGAAGAAACTCTGAATATTACACAGTAACACCAAGAAGCCACACAAGGGGAAAAAATCAAGATGTTAAGGAGCTGAATGGAAGATTTCAAAGGGCAGATTGGGAAGACAAAGCAAAGTATTATAATGGAATGTGCAAAGAGCTGGAGTCAACAAATTAAAAGGCACGAAGCTCAACATTTCTTAAGCTGAAGAAACTGAAGAACAAATTCAAGCCTCATGAGGCAATATTTAAGGGTCCTTCTTGCTGTTATGTACCCTCAAGGCAGAACCGACCCATAGTTGACCCTCCAGCAGGTTTTCAAAGGCAGTTAATTGCATGGGAGGAGATTGCCCATCTTTCTCCAGAGGAGCAGCTGGTGCCCTCAAACTGTGTGACTTCAGGATTGCAGTGCAGCTTCTTGCCACTAAGCTACTCAGAGCTCATGCTGTGGGCAGAATAATGAACAATCCAAGAAACATGTAAAGGAGATGGAAGGAATACACTTAAGTCACTTTGCCAGAAAGAGCTGGCTGGCAGAAGAATTTTATGAAACAGAATTTCAAGAGGAAATGATGATGAAAGAGAAAGTTCAAGCTGCTCTGAAGGATTAGCAAAAAACAAAGCCCCAGGAATTGATGGAATGCCAATTGATATGTTCAGCAAACAGATAGGTGGACGTGTTCACCAGGTTGTGCCAAGGAATTTGGAGGACAACCATATGGCCAACTGACTTGAAGAGATCTGGTCTAAAAATCAAATGATCCAACAGAGTGTGGAAATGATAAACAATATCACACACAAGCAAAATCCTGCTGAAGATGACAAAGAGAGCAGTCAGAAGTGCATGCAGCTGGATTTAGAAGAGACTGTGGGACTAAGGACATCATAGCCAATATCAGATGGATCTTGGCTAAAAGTAGAGAATACTGGAGAAATGTCTGTGTTTCATTGACTATGCAAAGGCATTTGACTATGTGGATCACAACCAACTGTGGCTAACCTTGAGAAGAATGGGGTTCTAGAACACTTACTTGAGAGGAATACCCAGAATGAGAAGGATTGACACAGTAACTGGGATAATAGGGGTAGTTGTGTCAGAGATAGTGAGATTGGCTCAAGATAGCATAGAGTTCAGATTTATTGTGTATAGGATCTCTATGGATTGTAATCAACTCAATGGCACATAACAACAACAAAAATCAGGTAGCTCTGGTCTTAAAGTCTGTGGTGTAGCACTGCTCACCTAAAAGGCCATGCATGCCTCTGTGGCAGTTTGAATCAACCACCTGCTCCTCAAGAGAAACATGAACAGTCTCTTCCCATGCCATTTGCAGCCAAGGAAACCTGCTGGAGGGTTAGTTATGAGTCAGTTCCATCCAGATGGCAATGAACTAATGAGGGCATTGAATGTTGTACTGCTAAATGAAAAGTCACACTTTGAATCCACCAGCTGCTTCTCAGGAGATTTATGGTCAGTCTTCTTCCTTAAAAATGTGTAGCCTTGGAACTGTATCACCTTGTGTCAGAATCAACTTGACAAAATTGAGTTTAACTTACACTGAGGGGACCTCAGGTTTGGCCAGTAAACCAAAGACCTAGGAACCAGTATGAGGTGGTTAACTGCCATAGTCCCCTCATTGGTGCTAAGGTAGTGTTACAGAGCTCACTCAATAAGCCATTCACCCTCACCCTACTACCTGCTCTGCTCAGTAGAACAGGTTGCCAACAGTGAGACCAGGAAAGATGGTGGTCTTCTGCTCATGCCTTGAAAGGTCACTCACTGTCAGCTGCCCTTTTGATAAGGATTCAGATAATAGTGTAGTTCTTTGTATATTTGTGTGTACCTATAGTGGAGGGTAGGAGTGGGTGTAAAGTGCTATTTTGGTCTTAATCTCTTCTCTATCCTGCTTTCCAGGTTGGGGTGACTCAGCAGGAACGCCATCTGAGCGAGGCATGACATATGATGCACTCCATGTTTTTGACTGGATCAAAGCAAGAAGTGGTGACAACGCAGTGTACATTTGGGGTCACTCTCTGGGCACTGGGTGAGCATTACCTACAAATTCCTCATATATATATATTGGGGCACTCTCTGGGCTTTGAGTGAGTGATTAACTTACAATGTGACCCTTAGCAGGAACAGATCTCTTAATAATAGCTTTTCTAACAAGTGCCAGAACAACCCTGCACTACTGTTAGCCTCCTCAAATCCTTAAATCTCTTTAGGGAGCAAATATTTGAAGCACCACAGGAGATCATTAAGAGTTTGAACTGCTTTAACTCCTCAACCCAATGATTGTCTGAAGATGTTTTGAGCAGATTATGGAGGTGTGTGTCCCTGGGGAATTGAATGTATGGTCTGAAACCCTGTAATGAAATTCTCACTGAGTTGGGCCAAGCCTGAATTTAAGGTGTGGCTCAAATACACTGTCTAGATGCTTCGAGTGTGCAAGTTGGAGACAGATGAGTTGGCCACATAGTTAACACTAGTTTAGGAAAGAATTTGTAAAAGAAACCAGTACCTGTTTTGTATCCACCTTCTCAGGCAGGAAGCATTTTTGTGTTGTTTGTGGTTTGTGCGTGTGAATCTGAAACGGCCCATTGCTGTCAATGTCCAGGCCCTAAGAACTTCAGTAACTATTATATCTTATACATTAACTTATAAATTAGTTTCTGAGGAAGTGGCACTCCTGACTCAACATACCCCTTTAATACCATCCTGCAGTTTCTCTTACACCTGAACTATGCTGTATCTCTCAGGGCTTGAGCTTGTTCTCTGCAAGAACGAACAATGTGAAGCCATGTGCCTTGGGTGGAAGGAGTAGGCCTTAGGTGTGGCACTGGGCCTCCAGGAACCTGAGCAGGATGAACTTGTAACTATCATTGCTTTATGGAGGCACATAACTTAAGGCTGCCATGTTTGGGGTTTTGGTTTTTATTAGTTTGCTTACAAAGTTCAGTATACATTGTGTTTCACACTGTTCTTCATTCACACTGTGTTTCATACAGTCATTCTTATGAATCATGTTTCATAAAATCATCACCCTTGGACCTTGCCCATCATTTTCCTGTCTTTTTACCCTTTCCTTGCCATGCTCCATCCACCCAAACTATGTAACCTGTTGTTTTATCCCTACATATCCTTACCCCTCTGCCCCTACCACTCCACGCTCCTTGAATTTCCATACATGTTTTACTAGTTATCCTTCTATTTTTACAATGGTTTTACGCAGTATTTGTCCTTTTGAGATGGCATTAATTCACTCAGTATAATGCACTCTAGCCTCTCTCAAACTATGTAGTATTTTTCAAAACCATTGCTCCTGGGTGCCACATAGTATCTCATTGTGTGAATTTACCAGTTTCTCAATCCATTGATTGTGGTTGGACGTTTAGGCTATTTCCATGTTTTTGCAATGGTTAGTTATGCTGCTGTGAACATTCGTGTACAGATCTCTTTTGTGTGTAAGTTCTCATTTTCTTGGGATATATTCCTAGTAGTGGAATACATACAGGTGGCCAACAGACACGTGAAGAAATGCTCAAAATCACTGACAATAAGAGAGATACAAATCAAAACCACAATGAGATACCATCTTACTCCAGTAGAAGTGACAAAGTTTAGTAGGGCATTGGAGAGGATGTGCAAAAGTGGGAACTCTCGTGCACTGTTGGTGGGATTATAAACTGTCTGAAGGACAGTTTGGCATTTCTTCAAAAAGTTGAGCATAGAAACTCCATATGACCCAGCTGAGTTGTCTTAGCTGTAAGGGCTTCCTTAAGGAGCTCTAGTGGCATAACTATAGGGTGTTACTCTCCTAACTCAAAGTTGACACCTCTCTGATAGTTCAAATCCACCAGCAGCTCTTTGGGAGAATGATGAGCAGTCTCCTCCTATGTCATCTATAGCCCCCCCAGAACCTAGTAGAGAATCAGCTGTGAGCTGATTCTGAAGTAATGAGTGTGAGGCTTTTTATTTGAAGGGTTTGTAAGATTCTTCTGCCTAACCTAGCAGTGTTCACACTGATTGTGATGGATCAGCTGAGGGAAGGGAACTGTGGTTCAAAAGAGTCTTTGTCCAGTGAGGCAGCCAGAGGAAGTCAGGCAATCTCAGAGGGCTGCTGAGTGCTCCTGGCGTGCCCTGCATCCTGACTGGCCTGCTGAGCATCTGTTTTCTCAGAAGCTGCCTTGTAACTGTGTCTCTCTCAGATTACCTTATTGAGCATATATGAGCTCAAATTTCTTTAATTTTACATAGGTCTTTTTTTAAAAAAAATGTATTGTTTTTACAATAAAAAACATTTCTTTCTCTCCATTACTCTTGAGACCCTCTTGATATCCTCCACCTACTTTGAATTACTCTGTAATAGAATATCTCATCTAACATTTTTGCCATCTTTCACCTAAATGTTTTTCTTTCTTTGCAGGGTTGCAACAAATTTGGTGCGGCGCCTTTGTGAGCGAGGTAAGCATGACTTTCAGATCCTGTCTGGCCTATTTTTTATGAGTCCTGAAGCTCCCATTAGCAGGTGTTTCTGTGTCATCTTTGCTCTTTATCTTGGGAGGTGTTATCTTCAAGCACTTCCTGCATTCTAGGCTCTAAATTCTAAGTTCTTGGAGGCAGGGGATGCAAGTAGCAGGAGAATTACTAGGCTCTGCATTGGGATTCCAACATATGAACCCAGTTTTGTGGGGCCAGAATTTTGGGACCTGTGCCTGCCTTTCCCATACTTGCCAGAGTACTAGATAAAACCAGGAACTAACTCATTAAATAGCTTCCCTAGCTCCATGTATTACTGAGCTCCACTTAGTTAACACTAGTATACCCACCCAAAAAGAAAGCTCACCCAAAGCCCTCATGGCTGTACTTGGTAAGGTGGCTCCACAGCCTGTGACCACATACCCATCCTGGGAAAACAGATGTTGGGACCCAGGATTCCTGGGTGTCCTTCCCAGGGCCATGTGGAGCTGATGGAGTGGGAACTGGGGCTCACTGTTGTAAGGCATTGGACCTCATGGAAAGAGAGAATCTTTAGGAGTCTAGCTGGCATCCTCATAATCAGCCTGTGGTAGCCCAGAGCCTTCAAGTTTTACTTGGAGCTGCAGAGAGTCCTCTGAGGGGAGACTCTGTCTTCTGAGAACTTCTTGCCTACCTCAGTGTTCCCTGTATGATCTCTTTATCCAGAGACACCTCCAGATGCTCTTATATTGGAATCTCCATTCACCAATATCCGTGAAGAAGCAAAAAGCCATCCATTTTCAGTGGCAAGTAGAGATTTTATTAAAAATTAATTTTTATTATTAAAATATATTTTGTTAAAATAGTTATAAGTAAAATAAAATCATTATTAAAAATTACTATTAGAAATATTCTAAGAAAATACAGACTTTATTAAAACTTAGCCCCAAATTAGTTTTGGTCACAGGCCTGGTTACAGAGGTGGGGATCATTGTCACAGAACCTTGCCTGTAGGCGGCAGTGGCATTGCAATTCAGGTGAGTGGCGGTTTGGGGTCCAGGACAGTCTCTTGACAGTGGAATGAGTGATTGCCCTGCTGCTTTACAGATCAGCTTTTGAGAATGGGCCACTCATATTTAGTGGCAGAACTTAAGTAAATTCATGTTAGAATTACTTCTGAGCCTCAGCCTTATTTTTTAAATCCTGGTCTGGTGAAGGTTTCTCTTTTCCTAAGATGCCCAGGGTTTCCTCAGCCACCCTGTGTTCTAGGAAAGCTCCTGTCTTTACTTCTTTATCTTGTTCTGCCCTAGGCCTAAAGAGTTTTTAGTTTACCCTTTTGATCTTAGTTTTCTCTGAACCCTGATGAGGAGAAACAACTGTGAGTCTCCCATTTTTCTCAGGTGTGGTAATGCCTGGTGTCTGCTGGAAGTCTGGTCTCTCAGCTGGACTCTTGATTGCAGCCCTGAGGTAGGGCTATATGCAGACCAACCTCTGTAGTAGCTGGCTTTCTGGGACCTGGAGTGTGAGCCCATACACCACAGTAGCAAAGTCCGTTTGGAAGTCTCTTGAAGAAAACAATTCTATAGCCTTTAGCGTATAATCATTAGGGCAGGTAGGGGTGTGTGGTATTCAGCTTTCCTAGGTAGGGAGTGGTGACCCTTGGCTGTATCTCTCCCCTACTTTGTCTTCTTTTCTCATCTATGTGTTCCCTTAGAGCTTGATAGTCATCACTGTGCTTTGTGAACCCTGTACTTTGATCTTTGCCTTCTGTCTGTATTTTTTGATAAATACTCTGAAAGCTTTCTCCATATTGTCTTCAGATATATCGATACTTCCCTGGATTTGACTGGTTTTTCCTTGATCCCATTACAAGCAGTGGAATTAGATTTGCAAATGATGAGAAGTAAGTACCTCCTAAAGTTGTTACTTGGCTCCAACTTTGCCCACTGAGCCCAAGTAAAAGTTTGGGTTGCAAACAGTTTTGTTCTTCCCCCTCAACCACTCATGATTCCAACCTTGAGACCCCTGGGAATGGAAAAATCCCTCAAAGCAAATGGCAGTGGAGTTTTGTGGAAGGATCAGTACCTTCTCCAGAAACCTTGTGTTGAACTCACAATAGAATATAGCACATTAGAATGGCACAAATAGTTAATGCATATGGAGGATGCTGGATACATGTCTGAGGGTGGGTGCAACCTTGGACCAAGGCACTGTGCTGGGCTGGGACCACTATCAGGAGGCTGTCCTTCTGTCAGTTTACTGGAAAGCTGGTCCGGGAGATACCTAGATCACTAGTTCACCAGAGGGCTAATTCAAGATTTTTCTAGATCACTTCAGTCTTGGTTCCCTGGTACTCTGTAATATAGCAGCTATAAGGGTTTGGATCAATTGAAAATTTTAATTTTTAAAAAAATGATTTTTCAGCCATCTTTATTCAGTGTCCAACGTTTAGATGCATAGGAAGTAATTGAACAAATCTTGATTTGAATTAAGTGCACTGTAGTTTTTATCTCTTCAGACCCTTGACAGTAGATTTTCTCCTATGCAATACATCTTTTGATTTCTTTTTATTATTATTTTATATTTGTATTTCATTTATATATGTAGATGAAACACTGAGATGCCATTTATGCCAAAGTAAAGTAGACGGTATTTAGCCAATAAATTCCTAGTAACATTTATTTGTAATCACTTTCTTGCCATACCTAAATTATTTTGTTTATAAATATTATTTTGTAACTTTTGAAGAATATGTTTATTGAAAAAAATAATTATTTTACATTTCAAAAAAATGTACAGGAGCTAGGTGTTGGTGAAAAAATTGATACCTGGGTTTGCATTCACACTGTCACTTGGTTAATGACAGTTGATGGTTCCGAGGTAGAACCCTGGTCTTCCATGTGGGATACCTGGTTTTGATCTTTAGCAGGTGCACCTCATGTGCAGATACCACCTTTCTGTAGCGATCTGTGGTGGTGTGATGCCAAGTAGGTTTCAGCAGGGCTTCCAGATTAGGGTAGTCTGGGAAGAAAGGTCTGGTGATCAGTTTTTAAAAATCTGCCAGTGAAAACTATTTGGATCCCAATGATCTACTTCTCATCTGATCTTGGTGATAGTATAGGACTGAGCCATGTTTTGCCCCATCCTACGTGAGGTTGTTGTGGATTAGGGACCAATGTGATGGTAGCTAACAATCATCTTGCTAGAAAAAATGTTGATAGAAGTACTTAAGAAATCAATATTTGGTCCTCTACTAAAGAGTTTAACAAAATATAAAACTTGGTAAACACCACTGGGAAAATGTTTGCCAGCCCCAGTATGAGAGAACTGTATACCTGTGCCACCCCATTTTCCTGGTCTGTGTGTGCCCTCTGGTCACCTCTTCCTCTGTCCCGTGCCCCAGCGTGAAGCACATCTCCTGCGCTTTGCTCATTCTGCACGCGGAGGATGACCCAGTTGTGCCCTTCCAGCTCGGAAGAAAGGTGAGTATTTTGAGTTACTGCTGCCTAAGCTTGGGTAAGGGTTCATAGTCCCCAGGTCTTGCTCAGGGAACAAGCTCTTGCACCAGGCTGGAATAGGCAGGCATGGAGAAGGATACTATTGCTGGAAGGAGTCCTTTGGGAGGGAGGAAAGGGCAGATGGAATTGAGGCACTGACACCTGGGGTGTAAGCTGGATGTTCAGTAGGTTCCACAGCCAGGTTGCAAATACAAAGCATTGTCAGCTATACCATAGACACAGAAGGCCCATAGACTCAAAACTCCTTGTCATAGATGAGGAAGGCCCTGCCGTACACACAGAAGGCCCTGTCGCACATACGGAAGGCACTGCCATATGCACAGATGGCTTTGACATCCAGATTGCCATCAAGCTGCTAAAAAGGGGCTAAGAAGTCCTGTTTATGGGTTGGGGTAGGTGAGGATAGTAAGCCTATGTTGTTGTTATTCTTATATGCCGTCGAGTTGCTTGCGACTTATAACAACGCTATGTACAACAACCCTAAACTCTGCTCTGTCCGGTGCCAGTCTCACTGTCTCCGACACACCCATCCCAATTACCCCAGTCACCGAATCAATCCACCTCCTAGAGGGCCTTCCCCTCCTGCGCCTTGCCCTCCACCCTCCCAAGCATGATGTCCTTCTCCAAGGACCAGTCTCTCCTTACAACATGACGAAAGTATGTCAGACGAAGCCTCAGAATCCTTGCCTCCAAGGAGCAGCCCGGTTTAACCATCTCAAGGGTGAATCTGCTTGTTTTCTTAGCAGTCCATGGTACCCTCAATACTCTTCTCCAACACCAAAGGTCAAAGGCATCAATTCACCTTCTATCCCCACTAGTCATTGTCCAACTCTCTGATGCATAACAAGTGACTGCAAAGACCATGGCCTGTATCAGATGCACCTTAGTCTCTAGAGTGACACCGTTGCTTTTCAGTACTTTAGAGAGGTCCCTAACAGCGGACTTTCCCATCGCAATATGTCTTTTCATTTCCTGGCTACTAGTGCCAAGGGTGTTGATTGTGGAGCCAAGCAGACTAAGGCTGTGAACAATCTCAGTCTCTTCACCCTCCATCCTGATGCTGTCAATTGGTCCAGTGGTGAGAATCTTTGTCTTTTTGACATTGAGCCTCAATCCATATTGAAGGCTGCAGTCCTTGACCCTCTGCAGCAAATGCTTCAGGTCCTCCTCAGTTTCAGCGAGCAGGGTTGTGTCATCTGCATAATACGGATTGTTGATAGATCTTCCACCAATCCTGATGCCATATTTCTCCTCATAGAGCCCAGACTCCCAGATAATCTGTTCTCCATACACGTTGAAAAGGCATGGAAACGGGACACATCCCTGGTGTTTGCCCTTCCCAGTTTTGAACCATGCAGTGCTTTCTTGCTCTGTTCTGATGACTGCCTCTTGGTCCAAGTATAGGTTTCACATTAGCACGATCAAGTGTTCTGGTATGCCCATTCTTCTCAGAGTCAGCCACAGTTTGTTATGATCCACACAGTTAAACGCCTTTGCATACTCAATGAAGCACAGATAGACATTGCTCTGGTATTCCCTGCTTTCAGCTAAGACCCATCTAACATTAGCTGCAATATCCCTAGTACCACGACGACTCCTAAACCCAGCCTGGACTTATAGCAGAGGAATTTTGGAACACGAATAACAGCTTCTAATCTCCTTTTGCACTACCTGTTGGGTAGGATTTTCCTTCATGGACAGAACCAGGCAGGAGAAGCGGACTCCTTGATAAACCTCCTCCCATTCCAAATGTAGTATGTATTTTTATCCCCTAAATGTAGTATTGTTAATGTATAAACTTAGAGTCTGTTTCTTGCCTTTGGGACTGGGTCAATAACAAAAGTACCATGCTGTCTCTGTGCCCTAGCCTTTGCTTTTGCCAATTTTGGTTCAGCTTTGCAGAGATAATGGTGCCAGGATTAATACTGTAGCTAGAATGTGTAGGTGAGAGGACTGCCTCGGATTTATTGCAGGTCCCTTCTCATCACTATCTGCACTATTACACTGTAGGTCCTTTCTCTTCATTATATGCACTATTACACTGCAGATTCCTTCTCATCACTATCCGCACTAATACACTGCAGGTCCCTTCTCATCACTATCCGCACTAATACACTGCAGGTCCCTTCTCATCCCTGCACACATTAGTACACTATAGGGTACTTTTTGCACTAAGAACTTGACACTTTCTTGAGCAAGGGAGTAAGCATCCTGACCAGAGGCATGAGAGCAGACAGTTCTTAGGAATAACCTTGCTCTTGCCAGAGCCCCTCCATAAACCTTTTCTACATCTTTTCAGTAGTTCCTCTATAGAGGAACCAGCCCCTGACTGGTTTTTCTTTAGAGAAAGGGTCTTGCACTAGGATGCCTCTCTCTGAGATCTGACCCTGTTCACCTCTCTTCCCAGCTTTATAACATTGCTGCACCATCTAGGAGCTTCCGGGACTTCAAAGTTCAGTTTATACCCTTTCACTCAGACCTTGGCTATAGACACAAGTACATCTATAAGAGCCCTGAGCTTCCACGGATACTGAGGTGAGATGGTCTCTTCTTTCCCAGGCTTCATCACTACAGGCTATCTGAAGAACTTGTCTCCCAGTGAGGGCTTTTAGACTGAGAGGTGATGCAGAGTGCAGCTGCTAAACTGTTTATAAAGACATCAGTGATACAAGAGTTATAGTGTTATGAATTCCTGCCACTTTTTTTTT